CAGATTGCCAAAACTACATCCAGAAATGCAAAGAGTGCCAGCAGTTTGGCAACGCGCATAAAAATTTGATTATGAAATCCGTGATGATTTTATCAGGATTAATAATTTTGAACTCAAAAGAGTTAAACTTCATTCAAGTATGATTTCTAAAGTTTTAAAAGAAACCTTTTAAAATGGAAGAAATAACTTACTTCGATAATGAACAAGGATATCAGTTTGATGGACTTGTTAACCAGATCGAAAATTCAAAACTCGATCTTTCAGAAAATGAAAATTTTAAGCAAACTGCTTTTAAGAATATCAAAAGACTTTTCTCACGAGAAAATAATTTGAAATTTGGAATCATGACTGGAGAAATCCAGGTTAAGATTGAAGAAGTAAATGGAAGTGTTGCTTTGTCTACTGTCGACAGACAGCAGATTCAGAAAAGAATAAAAACTTTTCCTGAAAAAGATCAAAAGAAGGTTAAATATGTTCATATTTCAACCTGTCAGATTTTGATAAAATCAACCTTTATTCAAGGAATTGATTCCCCGTTAACGCTTATTCTTAGAGATAATCGTTTTATGGATCGTGAAAAATCTATTATCGCACAAGGTAATGGTAATTTACGAATGGGTAAAATCAAGTTTGATGTTAATCTTCAAATTGGTTTATCTTTGCAAACCATCTAACCTTCATGTTCTCTTATCGTGAGACCATAAGGACTGTTCTGATTTCTAGAATCATAAACTCGTCTATATCTTGATAAACTAGCTTCCGCTAATCTACTCAAAGATCTAGAAGGCTGACCTGGTTCTACTGAAGCATTTTCAAGATTCTTCTATTCTCAGTAAGATCTCGAGAATTTCATAATCTCTTGCACTCAAAGTCGAGCGTAAAGATTCGTTGCTGAGTAGATCATGAAAATCATACAGCCGTTGACGGGTTTTTATTCGTCCTTCTCTTTGTCTTGTGGCGGAGTAACTTGTCTGAGCAAGTTCTTCAAGACTCTTGATCTCTAGATTGAGATGTCTCAATCTCTGTTCTATGTGCTGCAACCATGTTAGTCCAGTCATAGTTTATTATTAATGGAATTTACCTTTCCATTTATCTCAGAGATGATTTCTTTCATCTTTTCAAACTCTTTGGTTTCGTCATACATTAAAGCTGGTGGCTTTATGTCATCTTTTAGCTTCATGCTGAAAGATCTTGGGACAGAATTGATCTGTTGAACCGGGAACTTTTGGGATGTAGATCCGGATGTTCCTTCGTCTTCTAATCTAAAAAGTTTAGATTTTTCTTCGTCCATCTGGATGATTGGACTCTGCAAGCTTACGAAAGGTGCAAACAATTCGTCTATACATATTCTATCCTTATGTCTAAATTCTATACTATGATGAGAATTTGACAAAGCATAGTTAATACGATAACTTACTGAAAAAGGATGATTACCTTGTTTCATCATTTTATCGTTCAAAAATCTATATTCTATGATAATAGATCTATCAAGTAAAGCATCTTGCAAAGATAAACCAATTTGAAGATTAACATCAAACTTGATTTTACCCATTCGTAAATTACCATTACCTTGTGCGATAATAGATTTTTCACGATCCATAAAACGATTATCTCTAAGAATAAGCGTTAACGGGGAATCAATTCCTTGAATAAAGGTTGATTTTATCAAAATCTGACAGGTTGAAATATGAACATCCGGAACTTTATTCTCCTCCATCAAGGGCTGCACCTGGCCCTTCAACCTTGATAACTCCTCCTGCTGCCGGGACCATTTGCGCTTCCGATAATCCACAATGGTCGTGCCCCTCTGCAAAAAGATCTGGGCAGCGTCAAAACTTGCCACGGGCCTGACGGATTCAAACATCGGCTGATCGGCCGCACTCAAGGAGCCCTGCAGAAAAAACTTCTCAGGTGTCAGCGAGGCGCTCCACCAAGAGTCGATCCCCTCCGACGCACTCAGGTGCTCCAACCGTGTTGGCGCACCCTCCTGCGCATAACAATACGCAAGGTAGGGACGCTTGGGCGGCCCCCTTGTCGCAGGCGTAGGAGCCGGAGCCCCAGAACCAGAGCCCTCACCACGACGATCGGTTGAGGAGGAGGAGGCCACCGGCCCAACCGCTGGTCCAGTCGCTGGGACGTTACCGCCCACCACCGGTGACCTTCGACCATCAGAAACCCCTGCGGTGCTTCCCGCCTACAAAAAATATAGAGCAAAAAAAAAATCAAAATTTCACCAACTAAACAAGAGACGCAATAATGTAGCAGATCACAGCCACACGCTGCCCACCTCAACAATGGAACAGCATTAGATCATGGTGTCGTGGCTGTTGGATATGGTACAGATAAGGGTAAAGATTATTGGATCGTAAGGAATTCATGGGGTCCTAGCTGGGGAGAGGATGGGTATGTCAGATTAGAGAGAAACCTGGTTTCAGCTAGATCAGGCAAGTGTGGAATTGCAATTGAGCCATCTTATCCCATTAAGAAAGGTCCAAATCCCCCTAATCCCGGACCATCACCCCCTTCACCCGTGAGCCCACCAAATGTTTGTGACAATTACTATAGCTGTGCCGATAGTGCCACTTGTTGCTGTATTTTCCCATATGGAAATTACTGCTTCGAGTGGGGTTGCTGCCCTCTTGAAGGTGCTACCTGCTGTGAAGACAACTACAGTTGCTGCCCTCATGATTATCCAGTCTGTGACATTTATCGTGGTGTTTGTCTGAAGGTATGGCTAAGACTATCTAATATTTTCCATCTGGTTGCATTTTAAACTTAAACTGAATTTTAAGGTGGAACTAATCATTGTCTACTATTTTAGATTTTTGTGGTTTGATTAAGTCCATTTGTGTAGTTCTTTTCATACTCAAATGATTATGAGTCTGTTTGGATATAAGTTTAAAAATGTTTTTGAGAGTTTTATATTAGAAAATACTCTTTATTTTTAGTAGAATAATTTTCAAAATCGTTTTAACTTGTATTCAAATAGACTCTATATAGAGCAAATTATGCTTAGAACTTGTTTGGTTACAAACTTAAAAGTACTTTTGAAAGGTTTTTTTCTAATGAAAATAAAGATTTCTTAGTAATTGTCCAAATAGTGAAGGAGTAGAAGATGGAGAGACATGGACAGAAATTTTATGGAACTTAAGGGGTGTCGGTGTAATTCAGTCATGATTTTATAAATTGTTTTCTCTGTTATTGATTTGAATTTTCTGTGGATGACAGAGTAAGAACAATCCAATTGGAGTGAAGGCATTGAGGCGTACTCCAGCTAAACCCCATTGGGCCTTTGGAGATACTAACAAGGTCAGCAGTGCTTAAGCAGTTAAAGGGAATGTGTACGTGCAGAAGGAGCCGATGCTGAAGTAAAGGGAAGATGAAGGACTGAAACACTATCCAATACACTTCTCCTTTAACTTTCTCATATGCTGCTGCACATAACTTACAGATCATTGCCATTTTATTAAGATGCAAACAGAAGTATTCTGCATCAAATTTCAGTCAGACATTGGCTTTGTACATAGGGTTATATTATTTATGCACTGTATTTGTATTCAAATTCTAAATGGCGAACTTATTTGATTGCTGTTAGTTTCCAACTTCTGTAGATTATTCTATAATGCAGCAATGCTTGGATTTATCCCATATTCAAATGCTATTTTAGTTACAATGTGGAGTACACCGGACCCCTTCCTTATTCTTTTTTGTTGTAATGCATTCTGTGTTCAGTTTAGCTGCTTAAGTTGTGATGATTTTTCGATTGGTGGAATTGATACAGCAACTTTTGACACAAAATAGGGTGGGCTAAAGCGATAATTTAAATAGGACATGCGAGATTCAGAGTTGATTTCATGCATAATTTACATATTTAATATTTTTTTTATATAAGATAAATAAATATAATTTGTTATAAGATGAGGGTTAAAATGATATCGATGTAATTTTTACTAAATATTACATTGTCGAATAATTTTATATTAAATGTGAATTTTATAAATTCAATCATTAGATTGAATTTTTTTTACTCTCCGCTGGTCCAGTCGCTGGGACGTTACCGCCCACCACCGGTGACCTTCGACCATCAGAAACCCCTGCGGTGCTTCCCGCCTACACATTCTCGCACAAAATAGTTAAAATAGTGGTAATGTTATTATATAGAAGTTAGTTAAGGGGGGTAATATATATAAAAAAAAAAATTATCATTAATTTGTATAGATTTACGAAATATTATCGAAGATTGTATTGGTCTTATATTTATTATGTAATACTTAACTAAATAATTAATCAAAAAATATTTTACTGTTTATATGTTGGATTTAAATATATTTTTAATCTTTTAAATTTAGAATAAATTTATTTTTATCAAATTTAAAATTATTGTATTTAGTTCCTATAATTTTTAAAAATCTTATTTTAATCTCTCATGTAACCAATAACATATTTGAAAGTGATAGATTGAGATAGTTATTTAGTATCAGTTGAGTTTAATGTGATATTTTCACTAACAGGATATCAATAAGTAAATTTTATGTGACAGTGTTTGATAGATTCTTTAACAAAATTTTAGTATAAAGGCTAAAATATTATTTTTTAAAATTATAGAGACTAAAAAGATCAATTTTAAATTTGAGAGATGAAAAATAAATTTACCTTAAATTTGATATACTAAACATATTTAAACCTATTTTTTAATAGTCCATTCTCAGTGTTCTTTGAATGTATAAAAAAAAATTATAAACTTGCACTTTTCGTTATTTTTAATTTTGGCAATAAAACTACTATTTAATTTGAGACTATGAGTATAGCCAAATTCGATTCATTTAAATAATGTCTCTCTATTAAAATTTATTTTAACATTCGCTAGTATTTTTCATTGTTTACAAAACAAATAAAAAATTAAAATCACATGCACATTGGTGGAGAGAGAAAAAAAGAGAGAAAGAAACTCTACTTTTATATGTTTGAATTTGATCTATGTTAAAACAAAATATTGATTTATATTATGTAAAGAACTATAAGTTTCTTTTTGTTTTTTTATAAAAAAATGTTTATACTATAAATAAATTACAATTCAAAGATTTTTCTTTAGTCAATTTGGATTTATGTTATATTTAATAACTAGGTCACTATATTTAAAAGTTTGACTACTAGCAATGGAAAAATAAAAACACAGTTACTTAGGATTTACATACTTATAATATCTAAATATATATATAAATAAAAGTGTATCAACTACTAAATCGTATAACATGTGTGTACGTGTATATATA